CACAGTTACCACAATCTATTCAGTTCTCATTTGATTAGGCCCATATATATATATATATATATATAGGGTTCAAACGAGAACACCGTTATTTTACGATAACGGGAGAACACCCTTTTACTATAGACAATCGCATGTGATATTATTATTCCATCATATCAGAGACGCGGGAGATTTTATCACATGTGTTGGATGTGATGAGATGGGTTCTCGCATCTATGCGATATGAGGAAATGGGGTTTTATCTATATAATGCGACAAGTTTATGTGTTATGTGATAAATAGTTTATTTGGTTGTTAGAAGCTATAAATGAGTGTTGTCTCATTATTATGATGCGACAAAAAGATGTTTGTTTGATAAAGTTGTTTATTTGTAAATTATGCAAATATAGGTTTATAAAAGTATTTTAGTGATTTTCACCTTATAATAGCAATCAAAAGGGATTTCTCACTAAATTTTATGATATAATCCTTATTTGGTGTTTTAAAATGTGCATTACAGGTCGGGCACAATTAGAAGATAAGAAGATTTGGAAATTATGAAGGAATTTTTTTATTAACCTGGATATCCAACCCTCTATGTGAGCTGACTAATCCCAGGGCGACCACCTGCTTTACAGATAGCCCGGACCCGGAGTCATCGCATTTGAACCTCTGTGACCACAAGGGGATTTCTATTCCTCCTTGGATTTGAACTTGAGACCTCCTGGTACTTTTGACCTTTGGAGTCAAGCTCAAACCAATCAGACACCACCCTTGTGGTTATTATGAAGGAATTTATGATTGATTGCATGTGGATTTTGTTATGTATACAAGTCTTGTACTGAGATTTTGTGATGTAGTTTTTGTATATATTGGGACCAAATGTGTAAATTTGTACTTCATGATATATGAAATATGTGGTGATATGCAAATGTGATTTTGAGGTGTTACGATATAGTTTATTAGAGAATAATTAAAAGACTATTTTTCTCTTCTATATAGAATTTTAGAGATTTTTCTCTAGATATAGAAAATTTCATATCCTCATTTTTTTTTATGTTTTACTGTATAATATAGCATAACTGTTGGAGTACAAAATTAACTTAAATAATCAAACTCTATTTTAACATAACTGTTGAATGACGAAGGATCGTGTGAGAATAAGAGTTAAAGTAAGAAGTCTAAGAAGGGATCTGGATCCTTGATCACTTTTAATCTCATATCTACTCCATAAATTATATGTGATACATGAATTGACCGGGTGCATCTCATTACTGTTGATCTTCAATTATGATTAATCAAATGATGGAAATCAAATCTCACCATAACTTTCATTATCAATGAAACTCAACCCATTATTAAAGATGCTCTAAATAATTATAGTTGATTATAATTTCTATTTTATCAAACATAAATTTCAACTTTATTAAATAAAACATTACATTAGGCTTTTATTTTCAATTTTAATTGTAAAAACTTAGGTTTAACCACAAGGGTGGTGCCTGATTGATTTGAGATTGGCTCCAAAGGTCAAAAGTATCATGAGGTTTCAGGTTCAAATCCAATGATGAATAAAAATTCTCTTATGGCCACGGAGGTTCAAATGTGGTGACTTTAGGTTATCTGCAAAGCAAATGGTCGTCTTGAAATTAGTCGGTACACATAACAGGTTAGAATTCCATGTTAATAATAAATAAATAAATAACTTAGGTTAAAATTAATAATACAAATTAATAATTGAATTATAATTGACAAATTATACAGAAAAAGACAAAGATCTTGTCCCCCAAAGGGTATCTCCACTAACTTCAAGGGGTTTTGGCCTTTATCAAGTTAAACGATGTCGTTTGGCTTATTTTTTCTTAAAACAATTAATAAAGGGATTTTTAAAAGACTCATAATTGAGACTATAAATATATCTACAGTTGATATAATCATACAAGGATAAACTGTCCTTTTTGTAACTATGTTGATTGATGAAAATACATGAAAACTGGTTGTAAGTCATTTTACTTTATCGGATGAATATGACAAGGATTAAAAATCTTATCCGGTAAGAACGAAGGCAAGAATCTCGAGTCTTACCCAGTAAGTGAAGACGAAGACTCTTACCATGGTTAGCGCTTACCGGGATAAATTGTTGCATAAGATGCGTTTTAGTGAATAAAATCTTGTCCGCTAAGTAAGCGATAGTGTTGAATTTTACCGATAAGTGCTTACTGGGTAAGTGTTTAGGTAAACGGCCCCTAACTCATAAAACTAAAGCCAAAATGATCTTGAAATGGAAACGGAAATCGGTTGGTGATGAACTTGCTAAAATAAGAATTAAAATTAAAATTGATCACTAAAACTATAAAGCAAGAACCATAACTAAAAAGATATTCGAAAATAAAATTGAAAACCGGTAAATTAACCATCAATCATGTACATAACCAAAAAACGAAGGCGACTACTTATTTAATGTATATTATTTACAGTCGGTCATATTGATGCAACTATTGATCACTTGCTAAAACTGTTACGCACTTTATTACACCAAAATAGCATGTGATAAACAAATAGAAACCCGTAAGATATACGAACACCAACAAATGATGGCTAACAATAGTTAGGCAAAAAGTTGGAAAACAATCCCTTCTTTATGTTCTGACAACATTTCCCGATCAGAATGTGGTATACGAATGGAAGAAATCGTCTTCGAAATTGTGACGGATTTGTGAGCTCTTGCGAATAACCAAGACGTCTGATATCTTGGCATAATTCTTGATCAGATACAAATTCTTCGGACTGTGATGACCCAGATGCAGAATTTGGATTTGGCAAATGTAAAATCCTTCTCAGCCTTTTAAGAGTCAGATGACTCATATATCCATCCACATGCCCTTGGAAAAAGAATTGATCTCTTTTTTCGATAAATGACAGGGTATGCCAAAACTGTTGAATGCATTAATATTGACTTGATTGAATCCAAACAAAATTCAAAAGTCAAAGGGACAATTTATTGCATCATGATTTTGCACAAAAATGAATTTATTCCAAAGCTAATGAACTTCACTGAAATCAAATTTAATACTTTTTTATTGAAACAAATTATAACAAATACATTTAAATTAAATATCAGTGAAATATCACCCTTTTGCTTACAAAATCAAAATATTGACCATAAAAGCAATTCCTAAACCAATCTTGCTATGATGATTTCGAATCGAACTAAACCAATCGACCGGAACCGCAAAGCGAGTCCCATTCCTTTTTCGATAAATGGCCGAAAAACCTGCAACTAGTAAACGAGACCAAAATTGATTTGTTTCGCCTGTCTAAAAAGATTCGTGCCACAATGTCCAACGATCGCCGAACAATTGAGATGACAATACGTGACGCTTTTCACCACATTCGCCCGATAAAAAGTTGGCACAAACTGGAAAACATGAGTAAAGTTGGTATAGATTGGGTAAACTGGACGAAATGGCTATTTATTAAGTGCCTCTATTGGCAAGAACTCACGCTTCTCGTTCAAACAAAAAGGTAGGTGTCCGTCGTTACCATTTATAGCTCCCATACTCGATTTCCAGGTTCCTAAATATTTACGAACTGCCAAGGAAAAACTTTTGTCCGAGCCATTTTTGCTGCACAAAAGTTTAAATCAAATAAGTGGCTGACTTTGTACATATCATACTAAGGTGCCATTTACCAAACGCTTACATTTACCAAACGCTTACCCAAGTAAGCGTTTACCAAGTCACAGTACTTTACGGGATGAATATGGCGAGGACTAAGAATCTTACCCGGTAAGAGCGAAGGCAAGAATCGAGAGTCTTACCCGGTAAGTGAGGGCGATGACTCTTACCATGGTTAGCGCTTACCGAGATAAATTGTTGCATACGATGCGTTTTGGTGAATAAAATCTTATTTGGTAAGTAAATGATAATGTTAAATTTTACCGATAAGTGCATACTGGGTAAGTTTTTAGGTAAACGGCCCCTTAGTCACTTGACTTTTATATAATCTTCATTCTTAGAAAAATCTGAAGAAGGAAAAAGAAACACTATACTTGAAAGTTGAAAATAGAAAACAGAAAAAAACATTTTCAACAGAAGATTTCAAGATTTTCCCTTTTTCATCCTTACTTTCTGAGCAGAATTCTTTTCAGCTTTAAAAGATTTTCCATGTGAAAAGGTTTTATTAGGGTGCGTTTGGTAAACAGATGGGGCTGGATAGGATGGGATGAAACGGGATAGAGTGAGGTAGGTGGGGTGAAGTAATTGTGCAAGATTTTAGGCCTTCAATTCCACATGGGTAGTTTAGTAATTTACCAATATTGTCCCATCTCCCACATTTTTGTCTCACTGAGTCCTGTCCTATTCCAAATATCTCACCAAATATTAGACAACAAGTTTTTGTTTTGTTCTTTCATGTTTTGTCCCATATGCGTACCAAACGCACCAATGTTTTTCATGTATAATGGCTATTCTAAATGCCAAGCCAGTATATATAATTCAATCAAGGATTACAGTTTGACTTTTAAGAAACGAGTTCATTTCAAAATTTGATATGAAAAGTTGAGGTTCTCAAGAGAGGTTTGATTAGCTAATCAAACTTTTATAACAAGATATATCTGGATTTTAAATCCGTAACAAAAAAACACATAAATTTCAATTTTAGGAAGTGTTTATTTTTATTTTTTTTCTCTATAAGGCTGCAAAGATCCAACTCAAATTTCTACAATCTATAACAAGTGAACAAGAAAGAAAAAGAATTAGATACTTAAATTGCATTTGATTGAGGAAATGAAAAGCAGTGAGATTAGAGAAGGGTTAAGAGGCTAACCTTCAACGGAAGCACGATGGCCCTGAAAGGTGCAGCGGGAACTTTGATACCAGACAACTTTACATCTCTGATATATATCGTGGGATTCCATTAGAATACCTTCATTTAACATATAGGCACAAGGGACCTTGCAATGCTGCAACCGGAGCCCTTTTTATTCCCATCGATATAAGTTAAATAGAAGCGGAAAGAAACTATTTGACAGCTTTGGGAGAGTTTATTATTTGTTCCGATTCAATATTGGAATCACTTGGTTTTGACGTTTCTTTCGAGGCTTCCTTCACTGCCTTCTTCTTCTCGGCTTCTTGTTGCTTGATGTTTTCCTCATGTGCTTGATTGAACATTCTCACAAAGTTCCGCAAAGTTGAAACAACTGAAAAAAAATCATATATAAACCAAACCAAATTCAACAAAACAAAACGAGCCCAGTATATCCCACACATAGATGGGGTCCCGGGGGAGGAGGTGTACACGGACATGATCTCTACTCAAAATAGTAGAGTGATTGTTTCCGTGAAGATGCCCGGCTTGTGCAAAGTGTGCAAGATAAAATACAAACAATAATGAAGAGCTTGAAAACAAGAAAGGTAGTCCTAAATTTTGAAAAATGTTTTACATGTAAGCAACAACATTGAAACAGACAACTAGGGCAAGTGCAAGAAAACATAACAAAGGTATGTACTTGCTCACTAACCCTACCCTCATCCTCTACTTCTGCAAATTCCTTCCTCCAGAGTAAGCTGCTACAAATCCCCACTACCCTAGTTCTGCGTCTCCCAACTAAGCAGGGGCTGGATGAGCGTGTCATCACTAGAGAAGATAGAATCCTGAGGGGCCAATTTCATTGCAAAATTGAGAGCCAGAGAGATTCATTGAGAAAGCCAAGAGAATCCATTTCTACTTTCGTTAATTGCTGGTGATTGAGAGAGCTAGGGAGATTCATTGAGAGTATAACGTGGAGAATAATTTAGGGCTCGTGGGGAGAGGATTGTGGGTGGGAAGCCGGAAAGGAACGGATGATGGGGTTGGGGGTTTGATGCAACTTCAAAAACTTGCACAAGTGCAGAGACAAGTGTACTCCTTAATTTTCAACATTAACCGTTTAGCACGCTTGATAATATAGTGTGTGTGTGTGTATATATATATATATATATATATATATATGCATGCAAAAAACTAAGTACTTCAACCATCCCATGAAAATTTCAACACTTTTGTTTTTGAGATGTACCATGAAAACTGCAACATTTCCTTTTGGAAAGGTTCCAACTTAACATGACCTATGGACTATTATCACATTGCACATAAATTAATGGCATTCACAAATTCCTTTATTGGTCTTTACTAAATGCTATTTAAAATATTTGACAAATAATGGAATATTTAACTTAAACTATATGTCAAATCAAAAGTTGCAATTCCATAGAAGTGAAAGAGCAACACTTTATATGAGTATTGCTTAAGAAATATTGCTGCCAAATAAATCTCATGTAGCAACTAGGCCCTACACTAAAGATCTTTATCATTTAAAGCATAAGAGGATGATAATGTGGGATTGTCTCTTAATCGTTAAATTTTGGTGATATTGAATCATAACCAATTATAACATCGCTTATGTAGGTCAATCTGGTGGGCCACCAGCTCTACATTGTAAATCTTTATCATTCACACTAATGCATAAGATAAATGATGATGTAGCATTGTCTCTCGGTAGATAACTTTTTTCTTGTGAATTAAAGCTAAACCATTTAAAATACTGAACCATATAAGTAGTTACAAATTATTCTTTTTCCCTTAATTATTGGTAGTGGTTACGAAAGATCTTTTTTCCTTAAATATCTCAGGATTTAAATACTATTTTCAATTATGTTGATAAATATTTATTTTTCTATGAGGCATTTTAGACATTTACTCAATAGGCAATTATCTTTATGAAACTATATGTCAAGTTAAACATAACATTAAGAAACAATCTACTAATTGACATTAATGTTTCTAAAGATACTTATACTCACAACTTGAGGATTGTAGGAATCCACTTATTAACTCGGCCAAAAACCACTTGCTCATAAAGGCAAAATGGTTGGGCGACCGATTATGTATGACCGGATGTTGTGCAACCATTCCTTTACCTTTTCACAAAGCAACTGGTGTATCATCAATTGGGAGAAAGATTATTTAGATCAGGATTCTAAGTTACATGATGATGTCCACATTGGATCTAGGTTGATCTCATGGCTTGGTTCATAAAACTATTGTTTTTAGAATAGACACAGAGGTCCATTTGAGGATGTTCATTAGGTTAAGAATTGGTAATTTAGGTAACTAGAGTAGTAGTGTCATGTTGTGGTGAGGCTTGGGAGGTGACAAAATGGATGGAGAAGACAAAGATTAAGTACGAGTTGCCGAGACTAGTATTTTGATGACTCATTCTCCCCCTACCAGTGTAGTAACATGTCTGTCGTAAGATGTTTCGAAGGATATGGCCTCTGATAGGAATACTTAGAGACAACAAATTAGGGTAGCAGACTATGTGTAGGGTATATCAGTTACAGAGGATGGGGAGACGGGTTAGAGGTGCAGAGGTTGGGAAGGGGGAGGGGGGCTCTTTGCCCGGTACATGGGAGGTCCCTTGTGCCCCAGGATGGGTTCTTTTGCCCGGTAGTGAGGATTTCCCCTTTTTTTTAATGCATTTCATCTTCACTACTTTTTTTTCCTTTTACACTCTCTTTTCTTGTTTTTGCACATTTGTTTTGTTATACAAAAGATTCCAATGTCTGAAGCCCCTTACAATCTTGTCTGAATCTTCTAAACCTTCAAATTTTCCTTTTAGGGCCACAAGCCGGAGGTCTTCTTGTAAACCTCTTTTCTCTTTACCCTTAGGGGTAGAGGTAAGGTCTGCAAAATCCTACCCTCCATAGACTCTACTTTCTGATGGGGACTCTACTTTTGGATGGGATACGCTGGGTTCATTTGATTTGATTTGTTTTATATAGTTTTAGGGTCTGCATTAAGAATACCTAAAGGTATATAATGTTTCATTTTCTTTCCCTATTTATAATGGACTTTATCAACAGATAGAAGCCTTCAGCCTCCTCTCACTATCTCGATCTTCATACATCAATCATTGAATCAATTCCTATTTGATGCTCAAAATATATATCATCCTTGGTGTTATAAAACTTCTAAAGGAATAATAGTCAAACCCTTGGTTTGATGAACATCCAACAAAAATGCATTCGGTTGATTTTGGGTCGGGTAAGCTCCATTATTGAGTATAAACATGAACAAATGAGAAGCACAGAAAAACTATTGTACTAAGAGGGAATAAACCATTCTTGGTTGAGAAATAAGTTCAAAAGAACTTGGTTAGAGGTTTTGAAGCTTGACCCCATAAAACACTCGCTATAATATATTTGGACACTTCTTGTGAAAACGAGAGACCAAGCAACTTCTAGAAGATGTTGACTTTTTCTTTAAACGATCCTATTTTGTTGCGCATAATAGATGAGCTTGAGTGAGAAATTCCCTGATTTGTAAGAAACTTTACCAAGGTTTTTTCAATGTAGTCTTGCATTATTAGTCTTTAGGATCAACATTTCTGTTTGGAATTGACTTTGAACCATTAGAAAAAATTTCTGAAACTGCTACTCCATGCTCCTCTCTCATAAAAACAACCATGCGAGCCTAGTGGTCTTCTACAAGGGATAAAGAAACATATAGCCTTAGTAATTTTTTTTAACTCTAGAAGGGCCCAAATATCACTCTGAATTATAAGAAAGAGTGCGATAAGATAAGCGTGCTTTGTGATAGTTGAAAGTTTTCATATGAAAGATTTCTCAGATTTTTATTTGAAAAAAAAGGCAATGGAGCAGTTTTTATATGCGCAAAAGATTGGAGAACCTAAATATGACACAAGTTAATTGCATCATCTTTATTAGAATTATTATGAAACAAGAACTCGTAATATTTAAAAATTCATTATGATCCTCGTCTTTATGGATAAATTGTATTGAAAGGCATTATTGCTCTCTCAATGAAGTTACTGTTCTTCCATAATTCTTCATAATTTTCCTTCTCTTCTATTCCTTAAAGCATGGTTAGTTCCATCAAGCTACTGCAAACAAGTGGTGTATGAGATCTAGTTCATAACTTAAAAAGTCGCCTCCAAGGTTTTATATGTATAAGCTCAGGTACAATGTAATTATCTAAAATAGTAACTAAGCATACGTCAAGTTAACTCGTCAAGAAGATTAAAAAAGGTAATTTAGAAGTAAAGAAAGTGCGTATTGAGATTGAGATACCCAATAGGATCACAATTATTCGCATTTCAAAAGCAAATTAGTAGTTACCATGCTCATATGGGCAACGGGCTGGATCCTCTCCGAAGTAAAGAATCAAAGCATCAACATTTTTACCCTATAAAACAATGTGCGTTACAACAATGCTGGGAGAGTGCATGATCTTTTCGAAAGATCTTTCGACCGCATACTGTAAATCTTATAGAGAAATTTGACACATACCACCGCAGAGTACAGTAAGGCCAAGGATCTTGCTTCACCTTCTGCTGAACAAAGAAACTCCTTTAGAGCCTAAGAATGAAAAAGTTGTACAAGTTAAGTACTGATATAAACATACAAAAATAACAAAATGCTACACTACAAATTCCAATATTATTTTAATCGGTTATTGTGGAACAATTGCCTCTTAAATACTCCATATCTGGTATACAACTCATGCTTATGAGCTTTGTTTTCCAAAATATAAGTACCATGACAACAGATGACTTACCCCGTCAAGCTGATATTCTTAGAGCATCTCCTCCAGATGCTCCAAAATGGAGATTTTAGAGTTTTTATCACCAATTAAATGTTGAAAATTCGTTGGGGTAGTAATGTATTGAAGATGCTCTTACCTTCCGAAAATTTTCAGATACGGGCCCATCATTTTCAGCCATTGACAATTCCTGGACAACTTTCTCCAGTCCTTTGCTAATAACTTGCATTTCCTCTGCCAAATATTTCAGTTGTACCTGGAGCGATATAATCAGTACATTCTACATAACAAAGCTACCATAGTTTCCATTTCCTAATATCTGAGGTCCAACAATATCACCTTTGATGCAGGTTCCAAACTGTCAAGATCCTTGGAAAAATCGAGAAGTTCAGGTAGTTTATCCTCAAGCACCTAGAGGTATCCACCAGAGCTAGCATGAACAAAAGTGAAAAAAAGTACAAAATGTTCCACTTGGTGAAAGTAAAGAGTCCCCAACATATGAATTGACATGACTACAGAGGGGCCCCTGTGCTATAAACACAGCATGCTAATACAAAAGAAGCAGTTATGGATTTTTAATCCTACCTCCATCCCAAAATAAATGTCCATTTTCAGAAATAGATTGTTATAATTGACTAAATTTCCTACTCTACCCTTAAATATAACACAATAACGTTTAGATTCAGTTAGACAGAGAACTCACTGGTGGGATGGTTATACATTTCTAAAAATATGTGCTATTTTACTAAGGGTAAAACGTCACTTGGTTAATGAAAAAGTGTAATAATTATACATTTCTAAAACTCTATTTTTTATTGTGGACATTTTATTTTGGGATGGAGGAAGTATAGTGATATGACATGCATTTTAGAGCATTATAGTTGTACAGCCCTCCTAGCACCAGTTATTCTAAAAGAGTAAACAGAGGTTGCACAAAATATTATGCTTCTGCCCTATGATTATGTGAACCCCCATTTTGTATGTGGAGAAACCGAATTAAAAGATACTGTTTCCATACAAGCCAATCTGAATATCTTAGATATTGTAAGATGATCAATACGTCATTCATATAGCAAATAAACAAGTTCTTCATGAGATGACACAACAAAATGTGGTTAACTGTCATCTTGTAAGGAATCAAATCATGGGTACTCTGATTGCTCCTCCATCTCTTCAATGGATTCATATTTGTACACAACATTAGCTCGCAGACATTCTAACCAATCCCTTATGAATGACTCAGATGACTTCATAAGCAACAGAAGTTGGGTTTGATAAACATCAATGCTCCTACATGAGGAGTGCTAAAGAGAGTCATAGTGGTTTATGACCTCTAAGTATTATCATGTTATCTTTATTTTTATTATATGTCTTTTATCTTGAAACATGTTGTAACCTATTTGTGGAAATAAGCGGGTTTCCCTGTAGATAAATATAGGAGATTAAATTCTTTAGCTTTTGTTTTGTAGAATAGGAAGATTAGTTAGTAGTCCTGTTTAGTAGGATTTAGTTGCAGATAATGGGGGCTAAAATGTCAGACCCTTTTCTTTAAATCTTAGGTTGTAAGCTATAATTTCATGAAGAATAATCTGAATTCTTCACTATTTGAGGATGGCTTTGGCTCTTAATAAAAAACAAGCTTTTAGCTTTAAAGGTTTCAAGATTAAAAAATACCTTACAAAGATAATGCATGAGAGTCATTCTTTTGTTCCTAGCACGGGTATCTGTAAGTTTGAGGAGGCTATCCAGTCTGAACCCAACAGCGGCGCCTAAAACGAAAACCAAGTTATTTTTCTATTAGTCCAAGAACATATAAGAACCAAAATACTAGCTAGTTCATGAGGGGTATACAAAGTCAACTAGAACCAAATATATTTTAACAATGTAAAGACAACTCTTCTAGTTATCTTATATGTGCTATTGAATTTGTCCGCTGAAGAAATCTCCGTCACCAGTCCTTCAACTTTGCAAATTTGAGTGCCTATATGTAGTAACTAGAGTTAAGGAATTCTCATAACTATGATCATCTCTAGAGAGCTTAAAAACTAATTGAAAATATACATTTTATTATGAAAGGAATATATATCTCATGGCACTTTAATGGCAGTGTTGGACAAAACTATAAACAAGATCCTTATACATGTATACAGGTAAATGCATGACAATCTAACCACCTGATCAAATGCATTAGATTTAAGATTAAAGTTGTCAAGATGCCTTGGAAATCTTTGGCAGTGTATTACTGTTATAACTATGTAATGAGATGTTAAAATAAATGAGTATTTCAGATTATTCATTTTGACAGATGGTACTCAAGAAAGAGAAGTACAACTTCTCAAATTATTAGAATAAGTGACACAATGACACATGATGGCAACGACAACATGCACAAGGACAAGAAGAGCATCTTACGATAACATGAAAAAGGAAACACTGAACTCTTAACAGTTGAAGATGAGTGTTCATATTTAATACTTCTTGGACTTGGAGATAACAGGGATAAGAATCACCTTTTCACGTCTCATTATGTCCACTAATCATATAAATACACATAATCAAAAGAGAAAATGAACATGAATTAAATAAATAAAAATCTTATGTGTCTTAATTTCATTGGGGGGACAAGAATGAGACGTGTGATTCTGAGACAGGTGATTTTTATCCAGATAATGGTGATAAGTCCATCATCAACAAGTCAAGTAATAAATCACCTCTTGCTGTCCCCTGGTTCAAAGCATTTCCCAGGGTGAGAATTGTTTGCATGACTCTCTTGAATTTAGAGGAACTCCTCACCTGATAGAAGCATCATCGACAAAAGTTTAATCGGATTAAGTTCTTGCTGACATGTAAATCGACGTAACAGGAAAATAACTTGCCTGTTCCACCGCTGTATTTACCGAGTTTAGGCTCTTCCTAAGATCAGAAACCTAAATGATAAAAAAGGTAGAGCATTACATCAAAATCCAGAATCTAAAGAAGCTGGAAATGCATATAATAGTTTTTTGACCTGTGATCCAAACTGTAACTTGAAAGAGAAAACTCTGAGCTTAGATTCTGTACGTGGAACTTTCATTAGCTCCATGAAAAACTGTTCCAGAAAAGCAAATGTAAATCCCATATGATTGAATTTAAATGCAGACATAATTTCAAGCGGATTGGTCTGAATCCAGTAAGATTGGAAAATAGGTACTACAGACCTGTTCACATTTGCCCAATTTATCCCTCTCTCCTTTGTAGCCCTGAGATGAAAACCTGTTACTTATACTACGAATAACAGCTGTAAATACATTATTCAATGTTACCAATTTATCATACACCTTTGAACAAAAATAGAGCAACAGACATGCAAACTTACTAAATAAGTAAATGATTAGAAGAGATGCTGATGTTGCAATCAAATGCAATTAAAACGTTAATTCCAGTTGCTACTACTAAATCCCTGACATTTGAGTATTTTATCAAAGTCTACTGCATAGTAGAAACCATTTAGAAACTAACGGGAAACAAGTATGTCAGTATGTGCATTGTACGAGTCACATGACCTACTTTCAAAAGACAATCAAGTAATCAGCATAACTATAAACTTCCAAGTTACATATGTGAGGATCTTGAAAGAACTTGAAAACTTCAAGTACGATGGAGATTCTTGAAGAAGAGACCATGTTCAATGCACTTGCCTGTTTCAGTTAAGAGTGAAGTGGTTCTTTAGCAGTTGGATAAACGATGCAACAGGATAAAAACTCAAAATTTGATTTGGAAAATTGAACATGAAGTTTATTACTACCATTAACCCTACATTTTAGGGCTTATTCTGCCATTCACCCTGATAAAAATCCCAACTAATATATACCTTTAGCAACCCAAAGGATTGGCCTAGGATGCCTAGTGGATAAGGCTTGGAACCTTGGTTTAAAATATCTCAAGTTTGAGTCCCACATCTGGAGCATATGTTTTGCATTGACCCTGTGAACTAGTTAGGTCAAAGGAGCTAAGTACCACCATTTTTCAAAAAAAAAGATGAAGACATTTACCTTTAGCAATTCCATCTCTTCTTTTGTAGGACAAAACTTTATGAGGTTATCTACCTGATCAACATCCAGTGCTGACTCGTCTAGAGCAAGTACATAGTCCTGTCAAGTTTCAGAAATAAAACAATTTAAATTGGCATATCCAGGCTATGATATAAAGCACACGTCCAGATTGTCATTTCAAAATGCATATTTTATTACGAATTATGCATCTAACATGAAAAATTTTAAGAATTCTAATATATATAGAGAGAGAGAGAGATTCTACCGCCTTTCAGCTAATATAATTGTTGTTTTACCATACAAGTGCAACGCATGGAACAATGTATACAGTTAGAATTATAAATTCTTGAGGTTATAGGTGTAGAAACATTAGAGCAGGTGCCTTGAATATGCTTCTTCTACTAATGGATGAAAATTATAGATCCTTTGTTTTTTTTTCCCATCCTCAAGAGAAATAGAGTTGAACCTACTGAAAGTTATCAACACTACAATAATATTCCTCCTAACTAACGAACACTTATTTTTACTTTTTTGCTCTCCCAAGGTTCTCCTATTTAGATTACTATAGTTTCTAATTCATCAAACTGTGATTGTCATGCCTGAGAAAGATAGTGAACATAAAAAATTAAAATACTTCATTAATTTACGAGAAGCTCGTGTACTCCCTCCATCCCAAAAAATGAACACTTCATATTTTAGGTTTTCCCACGAAAATGCTGCATTCCTCTTTTTGTAAAATTTTCATCATAATTTACTATTTTCCCCAATAGTTATCATCATGGGAAAATTGTAAGTTCGACTTTGCGCCACAAGTAACTAGTTTTACAATAATTTTTCATATATGCCTTTCTCTATTTCACACACTTTCCACAAGTCGGGGGGGTCTTCATGGAAACAACCGTCTACTCTTTGGGTAGAGGTCAGGTATGCATACATCTGCACCCCCAGAAGACCCCACCTCCAGGTGGGACATAGTAGGTTTGTTTGGCTTGGTTTGCTTTTGTGTGCCAAGTCAATGGTTGCATTTTTTGGAATGGGGATATAATTTCTTAAGTAAATATTGTTCTATGTTGACAATCACCTCTGAACTTTTTTCTTTGAGGAATTTTTCATATCAAGGTTTGGCTTTTGCTGTGTTCTCAAGTCCTTCTTTGAAAGGGTGGGAAAGGGAAGAAAAGTAGGGGAAAGAAAAAATGTTGTGTTCTCGAATTTTTTTAAGGAGGGAAAGGAAAGGAAAAAGAAGGAAAATAATGTTGATTTTCCTCCCAAATCATTCCTTTGAAATGTAGGAGCATTTGGAAGGAAAGGAAAGAAAATAATTAATAACAATTATAATATATAATATTACACATCTACCCATGAAAAAAATAAGGGTATATCTGTAAAAATGGCATCTTCCCTTTCCTTTCTCTCCTACTCAAGGACATGAAAATTTAGTTCCTTTCCTTCCTTTCCCTTCCCTCTCAAGAACACTAATAAAAAAATCCTTTTCTTCCATCTCTTTTCTTTTCCATCCCTTCTTTTCTTTTCTTTCTTCTCAAATTCAGGAAAGGAGTTGTGGTCCTTGTGTGTCCTTAAGAATGAAGGTTAAAATTAGTTGTAATTTTGGACAAATAAAAATATGATCAAGTTACAATTTCTTTACTGTAGGTTAATCACTTTTCTTTTTGTGTTTGTTGACCCTAGCCAAGAATTCAACAACAGAAATGTAAAATAGTCCAGCTTACCATCAATTCATGCAATGGTATCTTCACCTTTGAGAGCATGATCTCACAGTTGTATGCCCGTCGGTGATCAATCTGTAAGAAGCTCAGAAGTGTTAAAATGTAATTTCTAAATAGATCTTTGAGTTTATTCGACTTGCAGATTCATTTGGAGTCTCCAAAGAACTACATTGTTTTTAGATAACAATATTAACATTGCACATTTAACTTTATTGCAATCACAGATAATTATATTGGACATTTCAACATCGACCAAATGAAGAAGGGAGTTGTCAACAACAGTCCACAGGCCACAGCACAAACAAAAGTATTCAAAAAAGGTACATTTCATAGCACAAAATGAAGAAGATAATATTTTACCAGTTGTACTTTTTCTGGTTTATTAGCTTTTGATGCAGATTTTGATTTTGGAGCCTCTTTATCTGAACTGGGAATCGCCGCTGAGAAGAGATTCTCGAGTTCTGATATATCAATCTCGGGCGTCCTAAAGTACATGAAACATAAGAGCGATGAGAACCTCAAGACTGCAAGAAAGAAAAACCTACTTCTCGAGTTCCTTCAAGGAAGAAAAACCTACTTCACAGCTTCGCCAGATTTTTGTGTTTCAGCCCACAAGCTTCCTTGTACTGCTCTTGTTAATTTTAACCAATGTAAAGGCTTCAGTTTCTTCGCTTGTTGATTTTTTGAAGCCATTGCCTGTGATAAACCACGCCCCCTAGCTAAAAATGGTGGGGGAGCTGGAGCGCCAGACGCATTGGCTCCTCTTGACAGAGATGGTGGTGGTGGTGGTGGTACAACACCTCCCTGAGCAGAAGATAGTGGAGGAGGTGGAGGTGGTGGATTTGAAGAAATCTGTGATGCAGAGGAATAAGGAGCTGGGGGAGGTGGTGGAGGGGGTGCGGATGATGCACTTCTAGGTGGTGGTGGCGGAGGTGGGGGAAAGGGTCCAGCTGTTGGTGCTGGCTTCTCTTCCATGGAAGCAGTTGGAGGAGGTGGTGGTAGTGGTGGTGGTGGTGGAAAGGGTCCAGTAGTCACTGCAGGCTTCTCGTTCACAGGTGCTGTCGGAGGAGGTGGTGGTGGTGGTGGTGGTGGTAGAGAGGGTCCAGCCATCACTTCCGGCTTCTCTTTCATAGGTGCCAATGGAGGAGGTGGTGGTGGAGGGGGTCCAGCAGTTGTTGCTGGCTTCTCTATTATGGGTGCAGTTGGAGGAGGTGGTGGTGGAGAGAGTCCAGCAGTTGTTGCTGGCTTCTCTGTCATGGGTGCAGTTGGAGGAGATGGTGGTGGAAAGGGTCCGGCGGTTGTTGCTGGCTTCTCTTCCATGGGTGCAGTTGGAGGAGGTGGTGGTGGAGAGGGTCCAGCGGTCGTTGCTGGCTTCTCATTCATAGATGCAGTTGGAGGAGGTGGTGGTGGTGGAGAGGTTTCAGCTTTCATAGCCGGCTTCTCTTGTAAAGGTGGAGTTGGCGGAGTTCGTGGTCGTGGTGGAGAGGATGCACCGGTAATAGCTAGCTTCTCTTTCAAAGGTGGAGTTGGAGGAGATGGTGGTGGAGAAGCTGGCGGTGCACATGGTGATGCAGAAGTTTCTCCAGTTCTAATAGCTTGATCCTCAGTATCCCGTTTTTCTTTTAGAGGAGTTACAGGACCTGATGGAGAAGGTAGGGTTCGAGAAGGTCCGGCCTTAGTATCCATGCCCTTTAATGGTGAGCTAGGAGGCAGCATGGAGGGTGGGAATGCAGACTGAGTTGGAGTACTTGTCGGAGAAGGCAATTGGGGTGGAAGAGTTCTAACCTCGACATCAGCAGTAACTAGATTCTTTGAAGGATAAGTTTGAGGAGATGGTAAACTTGGCGAATCACTAGAGGACTTTTCCTTAGCCAAGTAAACGGAGCTGTTTGGATCATTTTCCAATGATCCAATACTTTCTTTATCCTGATACATTCTAGGAGTCATCACATGAAATAAGTTGCTACCTTCAACACCCTGATGAGAACTAGTCTCCATCTGCTCATGGTCTGATGCAGCAATCTGGTGGAGCACATTGAATGTAGCATCACTTCTAGGAACTAGCCAATCCACACTGCTAAACATCTCTTGAACTTTAGCAAATGCTTCTATAGGCAGACCCTCCTCCTCAAAACAAAATGAATATTCTGGGACTACAGAAGCTGCAGCATCCATTTCGGAGAAAAGAAACTGTATGTATAAAATAAATATGAATGCTTATATTTGCGGTATTACAGCACAACCTTGTCTCATGGCAAGTGTCAAGAAAAATACCTCAGCCTTGAAGTCCATGGGATATTGATCCTTAGCATCCCAAAGTACGTCAATTTCATCGCGATTAAGGATTAAAATGTTTGACCTGATAAATGATGTGTTGAACATAGCACGATACATCATATTTTCATGCTCCAAGTCATCATGTAAGCTCATACACTCCAGCACAATGTCACCTTGAATATGGCAATCTATATCAATTATAACCAGTTCGCATTCTGCCTGCAACAAAGAGTGAGAGGTCATCAAAGACGTGATAATTCCAAAGGCAGGCATATATGTGCATAGGAGCATGATGTGGTTTCATTTAGCTGAATTATTGAAAAAGGATAAAAACCAACCAAACACATGTAGGAGGGACATGTAAACTAGATTTCATATGTTCAGCATGCAACTTCTTCCTGCTTTCTATTTAATATATAGTACATCCTTCAGAATTTATCAGCATGATGTATGATTGCTCAACCAAGAACCAGAGGTCCATTGAGCATGTGAATAAATTTTGATACATGGTGGATAGAGGTTACATAGAAAGACCCTCCCAAACCTCAATGTCAGCAAAGTATTTTTGTTAAATACACAGGTAATCAGATTATATTATTACAACAAACAAAATTCTTCAGCTTTTCTTTTGACATACGATTCTTCACCATTTACAAAAAATTTCTCCATTGTAACAAATACACAAACATCACTGTTGGTCTGTTGCTTTCAAGATTAAGGATGTAGTGTTAGGCCCTTGTCAGATCACCCAAACCTCACAGCTCTATAACCTCATGCAATACACTACATATTTAGATGGCACTTACATGATGCACCATTCAGATGCACATTTATATGGCAAGTCCATCCATTAGGTCACACATGTAGAACATGAAAAATATTCCAAACTAAGGGATTGAAAGGTCCTAGCATCGTAAAAAATATAGGATCAAGATGATGATGTATAAAAAATTGAAATGTATCATCAGCACCTACGGTTTTTTTCAAGCATATAATATTTATATACAACAAATACTCGTGCACACTCCTCACCTTTGGTGAGGTTTGAACCCTTGACCCCCAGGGAGGCTAGGATTTACTGATAACTCGGATACAGCTAGGCCAAAGACCCTTTGGTCATCAGCACCTATGTTTAGAGAAAAGACAAGTTAAACATGACTAGGGTATAAAACAAAGGAAACGCATCCACTTCTTAGTGTTGGCAATAAGACAATTTAGATATGAAATTAGTATTGCATACTAAATAGAATAACAGTAAATCATGCCTGTTTGTAATGTCGAACATTCTTGCTCGTCTTTGGGGTTGAGAACAAAAGTTTGGTGGTTTTATCGCCAGGCATGTAAGGATCTTGTCCAAAAATCCTGAATATAGGACAGCAACCACCATTTCCATCGATGTCAGGAATCATTCGCATTATCACACAGTCCAAACTGAGTGCCCTATCCAACGGAGGCCATTCTGTAGCCACATTCCTCCTTGATACATATTGTAAGTATCTCAGTTGCGAAGGTAGAGGATTCAATGGAGAAAACAAGTGTAGCAGCTCACTTGGAGCCTGCTTATAAACCATGTCCAGGGTCTTCGATTCCCCTGTGTAATATTTTCTGTAGATCAAGAGTGCAGCCAACATGAAAGCCAAAACCGGCCAACCACCACGCTCACAATGCATTAGAAGAACGTTTTGCAGCCCAAGTGAAAGCCAACTTTCACATGATCTGAGACAATGGTGGATCACCTCCATGGATAGCAATGGACAACCTTCATAAAGCAGAGGATATTCCACTATGGTCATATCATAATTTGACAAAGCAGAGGCAAGCTGGCTTGGTATATCTCCCTTGCGAAAATTAAAAATCAGGATTGAAGCATCAGGATAATGATCTTTAAGCTGACTTACTATGTTTCCCACATAACCTTTATAACTTTCTTGATCCCAAGCATCAGTAGTGAAACAGCAGTCAAAGACTATACATCAAACAGACAATTTGTCAAAACAACACAAGTTTTAGTCATGACAATAACCGAGCATACTACAAAGCCGTGTAGATCTATACATGAAAAAATGGATTTGTTGACACAAGATGTTTCCCTCCAGTTGACATGTTACACATATTTTAACATGTCCCTATATAACAAGAGCAAAGAACATGTAGGCATACTTAGTTTCAATAGATAGGTTCAAATATCACAGTGTTATCAATTCCTTTGGTGCTACATCTGCTGTCCGGAAGAACTGAAGTTTGCCCAAGCCATGTGTAGGGGCACTGTGCATGGGACCCAGTGGACCAATTGGGACAAAGGCCTAGACACCATTGCATTTAATAAAAGAAAACAAAGTAAGCATACTTTTTGAAGATATATCCTATTATATTAAATGTATTGAACATGGGGGATAAAAAAAAAACTTAACTAATTGTGTCTAGAATAATTGTACTCCTGGCCTATCCATGAACGGGAATTGGTAGTGCTAGTGTCAAATGGTCATGGCTGCCAATGCTTTTCCAAGTGAACAGATAGAAGCCTATATACTCATCATTTATGGTTTGTAAAACTCAGCAGATTAACTCAAAAAACGCTAAAAATGTTAATAGAAACGAACTTTTCCATATATTAGTAAACTAAAGAAGGTTCACCAACACATTCCTTATTTTTCCCATTTCAGAAAAGATCATTGTTTAGAAATCAGTGCTAAGCCGTCTGCCATCTCATTTTAGATGTCTAGGCTAGACATTCAATACTCCAAATTATCTCTGACATTATGCGTTCAAGTTTGGTAACTACTTACTAGATAAACTGAATAATAAAACGTCCAAAGAACATCCTTATTACCCTTTTGAATGGCAACTACATTGATTTGTTAACTTCAAAAATTAATAAAATCTATCTTGCTTTGTATATTAGCAAACTACTTACTAGGACAAAAGTATCATGCAACTAACAACCTAAAAATGTGCATGTTCATTCTAAATTCGAAATCAGAAGTCCGAATTTATAAAATCATTCTACTGTTCATCACTTTGCTGAAACAGATACGTCTATTTATGGCGTTCAATAACCATATAGATTAAAATTTTCAGTTAAACATGTATAATTTTCATAAGTACGGTTTAATGAAATACCATAGACTTTTTCAGAAATCTCGAGAAGTCCATCGGGTGGCTTCTTGTAGAACAATTTCCTGAACAATGCCATTCGTATCAATCTATGATGTTCTTGCTGTAAAATCGTGATTGAAACCCTAGAAACGGCAATAAAGCCTCTCAATCCACCGAATCATGTGTGTATGTGTATACATATACAACATGATTCCCTCTGTGTGTTTGTATTGCTGCATTTCGATAAGAATCTGGAAGGATTAACGAGTTCCCTTTCCAGAATCCATGGCGTTTGATTTCACTCTAGAATTTTGATTGATTTGCTTCTTCGCTTTCTGGCGTAGAAGAAAAAGGTGCTGAATGTTCTCAGATCAGCTTCGGGAAGAGAGTGGCCGTTGCTCAGACAATACAAATTGGTTATTGGTAACCCCTCAACTTACCCTTATTTCCAATTTGGGTCCTTTAACTTCAATTTATTAATATTTTAGTCCTCAAACTTCTTTCTTTGGAATTAATCGTCGCTTGTTAAAACATACAAATGATATCAAAATGTAATTTTGGTAAATCTAATGCTCTTCTTCATATCATGATTTCAAGATAAAATACAAACACTTTTTATGGTATTAAGGGTGGTGTCTGATTGGTTTGAGCTTGCCTCCAAAGATAAAAAGTATCAGGAGGTCTCAGGTTCAAATCCAAGTAGGAATAAAAATCCCCTTGTGGCCACGGAGGTTCAAATGTGGTGACTTCGAGCTATCTGCAAAGCAGGTGGTCGCCTTGGAATTAGTCAGTTCACGTAGCGGGTTAGATATCCAAGTTAAAAAAAAATTAGAATATGTTTGTTTTTTAAACCAAACAAATTCAATATATCTCACATGTATCATGCATTTATGTACACATATCTGACATCTACCCAAATCATAGAATGTTTGTTTCTATGGATACCTTTATCTTTTAAAAAAGTGTGTAAAACAGATAAAATTAGCCAAAATCATTAAAGAAAAAATCTGGCTTTTCATGCTATTCTTTGGATTAAACAAACATAATTCTGGAATTATGTTTAATAATAAGCACAGTTTTTGGAATTTACTCCATGAATCATCGATAAAAAAACGTGTCTTAATTATAACGTTGTCTGCATCACCATAGTGGGCTGCACAATCCCAACAGAATACACAAAGACTGAGGACAAAGCAAAAAGCATAAATCGTTACATGTCGTCATATCCCATCATGGCCAAACACCAATATTGCACACGTTGTCTCAAATAACCCTTTATAATTTCGTAGCTGTACAGTTGATGGTTTTCATATAAAGGGTAATTAGATAATTTCAACCTTGTAATGAAATCATAAATTTAACAATTAATTTTTCGATATAAGTTTTATAGCATTGGGTTGAATTTTAAAATATTTTAATTTATTAAACTAGAAGGATACTCGTACAATGCAGCGAGATACATAGAGATAATGTTTCGTTTTATTTTGTCTCTGTCGATATAATACGGTTTTATGTGACTCTAAGAAAGCAACAATGTTTATATTCATAAAAATTTGAAGGAAAAAAAAATATATCGATTTTAGTATCAAATTGACTATTTAAAATCATCGTTTTTTATGTAATTTCTTTATCATGATTTAATTTAGGTTTAATAACAAAGTAATCTATTTTTGGTTTAATAATATAATTTTTATAATGATAATAATTAAGTATTCTATTATTAAGTATAACTCAATAATTATCCTAATTATATTTTAGATTATTTATATTTAAAATAAGATATTTATCATGTAGTTGATTATGTTTATCTATAGTTAGTTACACGAATTCAAACATGTAGCTTCAGTAAGCTGTATTTACGCATAATTTACTTGTAACCTCGAACTTTAAGTGATATGCATCAATAAACAGTATTTTATACATAAAAAATAGTTTTTAAGAGTATTTGTCAAATATTTTATAATACAGTATAGATATAATATTAAATCCACTGTTATTATTCTGTATAATGAAAGAAAATTATGAAGTATACTTTTTCTGGTACATGGGTCATATAACTATTCTTCGAGAAGAAGAAAATTTATTTCGTTTACATGAATCTTCTAGATTAAGAAATCTAAGATGTCGATATCCAAATAAAAAGATAAATAAAAAGACCTTTTTATTTTTATTTTTATTTTTATTTTTATTTTTTTTTAAAGTGTCTTTTGGGCCTATTTTTTGGGAAAAAGAGAGTACTAACAATGGATATGTGCTTTTTGGGTCCCACTGGTTTGGGCCAAAGTCTAGCTTTCAATGATTGGGCTTGGGCCCAGCTTCATGATCAAAGGAAGCAACTTTATCTTTTTTTGAAGGTGTTTGTGGTCCGGTTTAAACTATGTAACAAACTTCAATAGTGATTTGGATAAAAAAAAATAGGTTGAGTTTGGTAGCAGGTGACTAAACTGGATCAGAAAAGACGGTGTGGGTCAGATCGGTTTAGATGATTTGGACCTATTATGGCTTTAAATTAAAAATAACATAACATATATTTTTTAAAATGAAATTTTCACTAATATATTATTATTAAAAATTGAAAAATTGCATCAAAATGGAACTAACTTTTACTTGATTCTTATTTTGGGGAACCAACTTTTAAAATCGTCATTTAGGGGTCTCTATCAAACTTTTTGTTTATTTAAGGGTATGATGGTTGATCTGTTGAACAAGTAACAGGTAATTTAAGGGTCTTTATCAAATTTTTGGTTTGATTTGTCAAATTTGATTTGAACTTTAATATTGATACGGATTGGTTGGATATAAAAATCTTGAATGTGATATTTAATATTTATTTTTTATTGCATCAATTAATTTTTTTCTATTAAATTGATTTTTTATTGCATCAATTAATTTTTTTATATTAAATTGATTTTTTATTGTATTAGTAAAAAATAATTTTTATTGTGATAATTTGGATTTTTTTTTTTAAATCTTCAATTTGATATCTGAATTTAAAAAAACGAGATTTGAAATGATAAATAGATTTTATTTCATTAATTTTTGAAAAAAACGAATTCTAGTTATTTTTCTATAATTATTTTGCAAGTTGGTTCCTTAAAATAGGAATCAGGTGCAAGTTGGTTCCCCAAAATGACGATTTTAAAAGTTGGTTCCCCAAAATAAAAATCAAGTGAAAGTTAGTTCCATTTTGATGCAATTTTTCCTATTAAAAAATATTATATATAATTACAAAAGAAATACCTATCTCCATTATTAGAAAAACGAACATTTTCCTCGAACTCAAAATATCGACGATGATTCAGAATTTTTTTTTTTTGGATTTTATTTCATTATAAGTTATTTTAAGTATTTTAATTTTTAATTAAATATTTTTATTAAGTTATATTTTATAAATAAAAAAAATGTGTTAATTAAAAAATATATTTACTGAATAAATAAAGTAATTGACGAAATAGTATATTTATTGTTTTGGAATATAATTTTGATAAAAAGTCCAATTTTGACTCACTGTTTTACATTAAATATGTGAGATGACTCATCCACCTCCCATGCACATGATTAATAGCAACTCCTAACATGCATGTTGCATTAATACATACCATTTAATAATTTTACAAATAAATTATTAATTATCTTAAAATAAATTATTAATTCATATACATTTACCCAATAAATTATTAAATATTTTATGAAAAAAATGTTAATTGTGATTTAAGGAATTTAAGTCCTATAAGTAAGAACTTGATTAAAAACCATATTGATAAAAAAAAAATAGATTTGTGAATTTATGTGTTTATTTAGGGGTTGTTTGTTTACCTATTAATAGTTCCATTAAGAAGCAGTCTTTGAATCGTTAAGAGGTGAATCTTGTTTGGCAAAAAAAAAGTTTGTCTGTTAATGGTTCTAAAACCCTTTGAGTGATTTTGTATCATGGGTCTCTCTTAACCATTAAACGCCCTAATTTCATTGCAAACAATTATCAAACAATTATATTTCATTTTGCACTATATCATGAGAGTTTTTTAATCATTCTGACCACTTAATCATTTTGTATCAAACCATTCAGCAACTTTCAAACAGCCCCTTAAGCAAGTGGGATTGTGACAACACATTTCACATGAATAGAAATAAGGTTTATGACTTCGTTTATGAGCTGATATCGATAAATTTTTACCATGAGTTTTCATGTTAATTTAAAGATTATTGGGTTAACTGATTTGGGTTTGGGAAGGTACAAAATGGAACCAGAGTTAACCCTTGAACCATTAGGATGGTGGGGCAGGCGTCATTGAGTACGATGAATGCTTCAGAATGGATGTTTTGTAACATTTTAGGTAAATCTCACATTGCCCATAAAACAACAATGATATTGAATAGGTTTGACGAGGGCGTCTTGAATTTAACTGGGGGATTTTGTGACAACTCATCTCATATTGATAATAAATGAAGTTTGTGGGCTCTCTTTTTTGGAAGGGTGTCTTAGACTATGCCTGAATTAATCACGGAAAATTGTGACTGTAAGAAATAAGTCCTGATAAATCCAGTTGTCACAATTGTTGTGTATACGACAACTACTCACACATCCTCATCATTTGTTGTAAAGATTCGAATCCTCATCCTGTCTTGAGCACGTTTCTCATCTCTTCTCGAGAAACAAATGGGATGGATACTAGGCGTTGTACGTATCGACCCGTGCAGTATTGTAGCTAACGCGTTAAGTATCCCGCCTGAAGAGTATGTTCTGACTTTATCTGTAACCCGAATATTAATTTTATCCCAATTTCATAACAACCAACAATAACTAATATTACATTTAGTGATTTGTATTTAGTATTCCCTATTTATTATTCTCTAGAAATTTAGGAGTTTTAAAACTTTTTACCTAAATTCTTTATAAGATAAAATAGATAGTGACGACTGACGAAACACAAAAAAGACATGAAAGTTAGTTCTTATTTAATGATATTGGTCCTAATATTAACGGTACAAATTATGTGAATAATTAAAAGACTGTAAATATTTGAATATGTTGAACATCTCCTGCAACTATATTATAATTTTTTTTATAATAAAGTAAGAAAAGTCAAAATCTCTAACAAATTACATTCGACTTCATTCTATCTTATCAATTATAACATTAACTATATTATAAAATATTCAATACATTTGATAAAATATTATTTATCTCTCCTACAAATTTAACTTCAATACATCTTATTGGTGGAAAATAATTAAAATATTAATTATTTGTTCTTTTATAGAGTTTTGGAGCATCTCCAACATCTATGTTAAAATAGAGATGTTGAAGATTTAGGATATATTTTTGGTCCAACAACTATGATATATCTTATGTTAAAAATAGAGGGAAAATAGAAATCTCCAAATTTAGAGAAATCTTTAACTTTATATTTAATTCTTTCTCACCAACAGGAAACATTGAAATCAAGTGTTTAGAGAAAAATAATATTTTATTAAATGTATTGACCATTTTAATAATATAATTAATGATAGAGTTGCTAAAATAGAGTATCTGTTATAGTTGGATATAATTATTTTTTAGATATTTTAATTTTTGATACTCTATTTTAGAAAAATTATAACATAGTTGTTGAAAAAGCTCTTAGAAATATCTCTAAATTTGAAGATTTTCCATCTTATCTCTCTTCTTTTCTCTATTTTAACGTACCATTTAACATAGTTGTTATAAAAAATTTCAAAAAAAATTATTTCATAGTTGTTAAAGATGCTCTTATAAATCAACTTTTAACCTGTTTGATTCGTTATTTTAATTAGAAAAAATTACTTTTACCTATATGACTGGTTAGTAACAAAATATAACCAAAATTGATCCGTTTCACATAAATAAATTGAAATCACTTTTTTTTTTTTTTATTAACATGGATATCCAACCCGCTATGCGAGCCGATTAATCCCAGGGCGACCACCTGCTTTGCAGATAGTCCGGAGTCACCGCATTTGAACCTCCGTGGCCACAAGTAGATTTTTATTCCTCATTGAATTTGAACCTGGGACCTCCACGTACTTTTGACCTTTGGAGTCAAGCTCAAACCAACCAGGCACCACTCTTATGGTTGAAAACACTCATTTAATAACATGGTATACACCAAATGGCTTTTGGCCTAACGGTATGTGAGTCATTGGCTTTCTAGGAGGTCAAGGGTTCAAACCTCACCAAAAGTGAGAAGAATGTGTGAGTTTATTTGTTTCATTTACAGTATATAAATATTATATACTTCAAAAAATATATATGATATAGATTGATTAAAATAAATATTAAATATTTTAAATTAGAAAAATAGTTTGTTTTTATAAAGAAAACAACCATATTTTAATGGTTGTAAATAAAGTTACATGTGCAAAGGGATAATCATAACTCATGTATGTATGTATGATTTGTTTTTTGTTTTTTAATTTAAAGAAGCAATGAATGATTGGAGAAGAGCATGAGCCACAAATTTTATATGATTAACAACACCAATATTTTACATTTCTTCATGCCCAAGATTCCCAAATCTTTCAACATGTCAAATATTATAACATCATAAAACATTTAAGTATCCGAGTAACCGGTTGAAGCATTAATCGGTTATCATATTGATGTGACGAGTGATGTGATGAAATTGAGTTGAATAACAAATAATATTGAGTTGGATACCACATCAGCATGATAATCGGTTAATTTAAATGTTTGGTTGTACGCTTTTAAAATATTTATCTGATTATTACAATTTGAAGCTGTAATGATCAATTTTAGTGCTTGGATAAAGATATTATGCTTGTAGCTATCTGATTATTTAGAGGTTAAATACTCGGTTTTGGATAATCTATTTAATATCAATCTACCAATGGTAACAAAATTGATTAAAGAATGTTTTTTTAGAAAGTAATACTAATACTAATTAAGGATGTCATAAGTCATAACCCCCTTTAGCATAGTGAAATGTAAACCTAATGAACCACAAAAGTGGTGTTTGATTGGTTTGAGCTTGGCTCTAAAGGTCAAAAGTACCACGAGGTCCTAAGTTCAAATTCAAGGAGGAATAAAAATTCTCTTGTGGCCACAGAGGTTTAAATGCGGTGACTTCGGGCTATCTGCAAAGCAGGTGGTCACCATGAGATTAGTCGACTCGCATAGTGGGTTGGATATCCAGATTAATAAAAAAAATGTAAACCTAATGAGATTGCATCTAATACACCTAATGACCGTAAACAAAATGGCTTAAATGCGTCTCATTTGACTAGCATGTAAGGATACTTAATGACCGCTTTTTAATGTCCCTAATTGCCAGGGACGAAACCTGTTACAAAATACAAACGTGAGTGACGCAGTTGTAATTTTCAAAGATTAGAGACGAAAACCGAAGATCCTATAAACCCTAGGGAGGACTTATGTAATTTACTCTTTTCACTATAGTAGTAAAAATGATGACGAATGAGTTGTTTGTTTACCTTTTAATAGTTTCATTAGAAAATGATCTTTTAATCGTTAAGAGGTGAATTTTGTTTGTAAAAAAAGTCTGTCTCTTAATGGTTTTAAAATCATTTGAATAATTTTGTATCATGGATGTCCCTTAACCATTAAGAGCCCTAATTTCATTGTACACAATTACCAAACAATTATATTTTATTTTGCACTATATCATAATAATCTTTTAATCATTCTACATCAAACCATTCAACAATTGCCAAACAATCCCCAATACACATATAAAAGATCATTGAATTCGATTAAAACTTGTTTCGTATAATTTCACCCACCAATAAATATTTGACCACAAACCCTCTTACATGATACCCATTTATGAATTCAACAAAAACCATCTTCCCACTCACGTCTTCTTTCTGTCAATTTCTCTTTCCCAATATTTTACCATGATTTTTTCCCCTAAAAGAAATGATATAAAAATCAAACCTTTTTCCTCATGCTTTTGTTGCCTTTCTAACATTAAGACAATCTCCTTTAAGTTACTTGTTTTCTCTGTTGGCTGACTTCTCCTACCTGCAAATAAGCTGAAGAACCCCAACTCTTTTGAAGCAAATTTTCGAAATGGGTATACATTTTTCTTTGTTTGATGATTCCTCTTCATTTTCTTGAAAATACCCAATTCATCAGGGCAGCAGATCGGTGGTGGTGGCACAGCGGTGGCGGGCGGTGGACGGTGGTGTTTGGATTGAATGAAGACAGAAGTATTAAGGAGATTGAGTCATCTGAAAGCCTGATAAACGCAAAAGGGGTTTTCTTGAATTGGTGGGTGGATATCAGAGTTGAAGTTTTGAGCTATCCATCAATTTCTCTTCCTTTTTCAGCAAATTTTCAATATGGGATTTGCTTTTTTTGGTTCAATTGTTGTTCTAACGCTGTTCTTCAGGTCAAATCTTTGTCAACAACAAGAACAACCCATTCCCAATACGGATGAGTTCTTCATCTCTGATTTCTTTCAAAAGATGGGTATAAATCCTTCGAATTCATCTTTTTCTCATATTTACAATTTCTCTGGACCTGTTTGTTCATGGCAAGTTGTTTTCTGCGATTCCAATCAAGAAAATGTCATAGGTTTTGTTGCTCCTAATTTGGGACTTTCTGGGTCCATTCCTGATAACACCATTGGCAAACTCACAAAGCTTCGATCTTTGGATCTTAGCAATAATCAGGTCACTGATTTGCCTTCTGATTTTTGGAGTTTGGGTTCACTTAAATTCCTCAATCTTTCGAACAACAAAATCTCCATGAATATCCCCAGCAACATTGGTAACTTCGGTTCACTTGAAAAACTAGACCTTTCTTTCAACAATTTCTCTGGTAGTCTTCCTGAATCCATTAGTTCTCTCACCAATTTAGAAGTTCTTAATCTCAATCGAAATGGGTTTGATTCCACTATTCCATTGGGAATCATAAGCTGCCATTCTTTGATTTCTCTTGACTTCTCTTGGAATAGTTTCAATGGGGTTCTTCCTGATGGCTTTGGTTCATCATTTCCTAAGCTCAAAAGCTTGAATCTTGCTGGAAATGAAATCAAAGGAAGGGGTTCGGATTTTTCCATGTTGGAATCTTTAACTTACCTTAACATTTCCAAGAATCTTTTCCAGGATTCAGTTGTTGAAATCTTTCAGGGGACATTGGAAGTGATTGATTTGAGTAGTAATCACTTTGAAGGTCATATTTCTCAGGTAAACTTCAGTTCTGCCTTCAATTGGTCTCACTTGGTTCATCTTGATTTGTCTGATAATGACATCAGTGGACAGTTTTTCAGTAATTTAAGTCAAGCCCATAATCTCAAACACCTTAATCTTGCCAAGAACAGATTTTCTACCCAAAAATTTCTCCAGATTGATGCCCTTCATAGTTTAGAGTACTTAAACTTGTCTAACACCAATTTAATCGGCCAAATTGCTGATGAAATGTCTGTGTTAACTCATCTGAAAACACTCGATCTCTCGAGTAACCATCTCAGTGGTAAAATTCCACATTTGAGCTTGAACACCCTGCAAAATCTTGATCTTTCATTCAATAACTTGAGTGGAGAGATACCCATATCTCTCTTGAAAAAGCTTCCATGGATGGAAAGATTCAACTTTTCTTACAACAACCTGACCCTTTGTGATTCGGCATTTTCTACCGAAACCCTCCAATCCGCTTTTGTTGGTTCATCAAATAACTGCCCCATTGCTGCAAATCCTATACTTTTCAAGAAGAAAGCTCATAGCCATAGGGGACTCATGCTTGCTTTGGCCTTAACCTGTTCAATAGTCTTTTTGCTTGCGGCATTGCTGTTTTGTGCGTTTGGTTGTCGAAGAAAAACACAAATGTGGGCAGTGAAACAAGATTCTTACAAAGAAGAGCAAGTGATTTCGGGTCCTTTTTCATTCCAAACCGATTCCACCACTTGGGTAGCCGATGTAAAGCTTGCAACCGCAGTTCCTGTAGTGATCTTTGAGAAGCCATTGCTGGATTTCACCTTCTCTGATCTTCTTTCAGCCACTTCAAATTTTGATAGAGGAACCCTTTTGGCAGAAGGGCGATTCGGGCCGGTTTACAGAGGCTTCTTGCCAGGTGGAATCCACGTGGCTGTTAAGGTTTTGGTCCATGGTTCCACCATGACTGACCACGAAGCAGCGAGAGAGCTTGAGTATCTTGGAAGGATAAAACACCCGAATCTTGTTCCTTTAACTGGATATTGCTTGGCTGGTGAACAAAGAATCGCGATTTATGATTACATGGAGAATGGAAATCTCCATAATTTGCTTCATGATCTCCCTCTTGGAGTTCAAACCACAGAAGATTGGAGTTCTGATACATGGGAAGCCGATGAAAGCAACAGTAACGGAATTCAAAACGTGGGGTCCGAAGGTCTGTTGACCACGTGGCAATTTCGGCATAAGGTTGCGCTTGGCACAGCTCGTGCATTGGCGTTTCTCCACCACGGATGCTCACCTCCAATCATCCACAGAGACGTAAAAGCAAGCAGCGTCTATCTTGATGACAGTCTCGAACCAAGATTATCCGACTTCGGACTTTCAAAGATCTTTGGTAACGGTCTTGAAGACGAGATTTCTCATGGGTCCCCCGGATACATCCCACCGGAGTTTCTAAATCAAGATGGAAGCTCCTCACCGTATGTGATCACTCCAAAATCTGACGTCTATGGGTTTGGAGTGATTCTTCTTGAGCTCATAACAGGAAAAAAGCCTCTTGAAGATGAGTACCCAGATGAGAACAACTCAAAAGAAGCAAACTTGGTGAGTTGGGTGCGAGGTTTAGTGAGAAAGAACCGCGGTTCATGGGCCATAGACTCCAAGATCCGTGGCACAGGGACCGACGCTCAGATGGTTGAGGCCTTGAAGATCGGCTATCTGTGCACAGCCGATCTTCCGGCCAAACGGCCGAGTATGCAACAGGTGGTTGGACTTCTGAAGGATCTTGAACCAGTTATTAATCAGTGAGAGAAGTTTCAAAAGAAGTTTGGTTCTTTGCATTCTGTTGGTGTTCATCTGTTGATTTTGTTTTGAGGGTCTGCAGTTCTGTTTTGTTAGTTCTTTTATATGGTGTACAGTTTGTTCAAAATCACAACTGTCTAACTTCACTTAGGCATTGTTGGTGGCATAAACTCTTTTAACCTAATATACAATTGTTTCTTATAAGATATCTGTTAGTTGTTGGCTGATAAGCTATCTGTTAGTTGACGAGTTGGCTTATAAACTAGTCATGTTAGGTCAAAACTAACCGATAAAAGGTCGATGAAATGACCTAAAAGACTAGAGTCTTTGGTCACTCGTGTAAAACGTAAGGGGTATAATCGGGAAAAAAAAATGAAATAGTTTATGGCTTATCAAACGGGGTTCTTTCGATAAGCTCAGCTTAAAAGCTTATGATTGTCAAACACAGTGAATTGGATATTTTTCTAAGTTAAAGCATTTGTAGGCTTTTTGAAAGGATTCTTGAAAATTCACATGTGAAGAGATATAATCAAGCATTTGTTGGTTCAAGATATGGTACGCATTGGCACGTTCCGCAGACACGAATACCTTTCCGGGTGTGGCATCTTGTGTCTCAAACTCCTCTTTTTTCCATCCTCGTCGAATTCAGTCATCACCGTTGTTCTCTTTCGATTTTAACGCATTAAAATCCGGGGTCCACCTAAAATTCTAAAATATCTTTCGATTCATATTTCAGACTTGTCTTAATAGAAACAACTAGAGTCTTCTATATTGGATACCACTGGCTTACATTTTTGTATTGAAAACCATGTGCTTGAGCTTGGATTCTTAATATGGGGCTTGAGTGAGTGAGTGATGGACCACTTCTGCAAGTCCACCCATGAAATTGGTGCTTTGTGGTTCATGGTCGTATGGTGGTGGTCAACCAAAGGTTTGGCAGCCATCAATTTGCTACGCATTCACATGCAATCTTAAAGACAAAATTGTCATGTAACTTTTATCTGGTGATATTCTTTTTTCAACTGTATAATGTCGACTTCAGATACCATCCACTTATCTGTGTGACATGCGATTTAGATTATGTTTGGTCGTTATAAGCTGATTTATTATAAAAAACTCGGTTTAATCAGCCATAATTTAGCTTTTTGGAAAGCAGCTTCAGGCAGTGATTCAATAAGTTTCTCGAGGGGGTTTTCCATGGTGTTTTTACTAGAGAATTGATTCCATTATGATGTAGGGCAAGATTAATTAATTTAAAGTTGGGATGAACATGAAAAGCTAGGATTGAAATGGCAAAATGCTTTGATTCCCATTTGAGATAGTTGGTCAACTAGAATATGATCATGACACCATCATAAATATATTTTTATATAAATATTTAATTACTAATAATAAAATTAATTTATCCAAACCAATGTTTCTTAATATTTAATCATTATTATCCATACTATCTTATAAATCAGATTTATTAAAAGTCTTTAAAATAATTTTTAATGCACAAAGTCTTAAAAACAACTCATAATGCATTAAGTACTACTACTTTTATGCACAAAATCTTAAAATATCTTAATCTACAATTAAAATAACATATAGTACAAGTTACCAATGCACATTATTATTATTTTTTTCATGTTCTCAAGATACTTTTGACACATTTCGCTTATGTCTTCACCCTCTCAATAGATCAACCTGAAGAAATGAAATTTGATAGGAGTTTTGGACAGGAGTAGAACTAGACAATAGAATTTTTCTTATAAAAACGAATTGCAACTATAGATGTGGGGATGAATAGAGAACCGACAGTTCAATAACAAAGTCCTAGCATGGTTGGACTGAGGACATCTAGTCATATTATCTCGTTTTACGAGGTACAATCTTTTAGTGTTTTTTCCTCGGATATTGTCTTATCACAATTATTGTTAATTTATTGTCTTTATCAGTTACTTGCATACACTCTCAGTATTTTTCTTTCGTCCTTCTGCTCATAAGTCTCTTCAAAATTCTCACACCTTAAAAAATTAGCAAGTCTAAAGGGTTGCTTACCAAACACTTACCCGATAAGCCTTTACCGGTAAAATTCAACAATATATCATTTACTTACCCGATAAGCCTTTACCGGTAAGATTTTAGTCAAAGACCTTCCAGCCTAGTGGTAAAGGATTGGGCATAGCATAGTCATGAACCCAAGTTCGAGCCCTGGGAGAGGAGTGTTGGCGACATTTAAGTGAAGTCATGCTTAGCCTTCAAATTTGCCGGGGATTAGTCGGGCTTTGGCCCGGACACCCTTAAAAAAAAAAAAGATTTTAGTCAACCAAAAACAACTTTATATGCAATAATATACCCGGTAAGAGCTGATTGTGGTAAGAGTCATTGCCCTCACTTATAAGGTAAGACTCTCGGTCCTTGTCTCGCTCTTACCATGTAAGATTCTTGGTTTTTGCTATATTCATCCGGTAAGGTAATATAACTTGGTAAACACTTACCCGAATAAACACTTTGTAACGGCCCCTAAGTCTTAACGTAGTAAATCAATCATTTTACCCTTTGGCATAGAAAATTCTACATATAGTAAGCTGTTATGAAACCCTACTTTTTTTTATTAACCTGGACATCCAACCCGCTATGCGAGCCGACTAATCCTAGGACGACCACTTGCTTTGCAGATAGCCCGGAATCACCGCATTTGAACCTCAGTGGCCACAAAAGAATTTTTATTCTTTCTTGGATTTGAACCTGGGACCTCCTGGTACTTTTGACCTTTGAAGCCAAGCTCAAACCAATCAGACACCACCTTTATGATTTACGAAACCCTACTTTCGAATAAGATATAACATATAATATTGGTTTGATATGATTTATCACCACTAATTAGTAGTAAGCAAGAAATAAATTGTATTGAAATCAATATAAAAATTGTGTTTATATTTTTAACAATAAAAAATAAAAAAAATAAAATAATCATATTTAATTTAAAACACAAAAATAAATTAATATAAATATTAACTTACAAATGGTTTTGGTTGGTGTAGGATTATATTATTTGTTTGGATTTTTCTATTTGTTCCCATTCCATTTTCCTACTTACAAATTGAGACTTGATGACAATTCTTTCACTTTCAAGAAAAAATTAAAAAAAATATATTATTAAAAATATTTATTATTTAATTAAAAAATTTATTGTTTTTTCATAACCTGGATATGCAACCCGCTATACGAGTCGATTAATCGCAGGACGACCACCCGCTTCACGAGTAGCCTGGAGTGACCGCATTTGAACCTTCGTGGCCACAAGGAGATTTATATTTCTCTTTGGATTCGAACATGAGATCTCCAGGTACTTTTGACCTTTAGTGTCCAGGTTCAAACCAATCGGATACCAGTCTTGTTTTAAGAAAAGACACTATGTAATCATGAATCGTATTTATTTTATATATGTTGATTGACTCATGCATCAATAAATTTAACTTATTTACTTGAAAATTAATATACCGATTTAGTAGTGTTTGTTTTTTAAGAGATGTTGAAGTTTAAAGTCTGATTTCATTTCTGATATATAAGAGGTGGTCTTGAAGTCTGAAATCTGGATCAGTAAGAATGTTTGTTTTTAGGGGGTGTTTGGGATTGCTTATAAAAACTGCTTTTTAACTTATTTCAGTCTGGCACCGGTGATAAGATATTTTCTTGTGTTTGGATAAGAAAAAAAACTGCTTATACCGGTACCAAACCGGTAATAAGCTGTTTTTGATAAGTTAATCATTTCTGACTTATGAAAAACTGTTTATTACCCGTTTACAATTTTAACACTGTTTATTTAACTCCGGTTTAATACCACATAAGTTAATAAACACTTTTACAAAAAAAACATAAGTTATTTTAAATAAGCAATCCCAAACACCCCCTTACTTCTGAAGTTTGAAATCTGAATCGGTCAAACTAGTGTAAAAGATATAAAAGACAAATAGTTTTTTTTTACAAAAGTATAAAAGATAAATAACTTTTACTAACAAATCTCTTCCAGCCCCTAAACTATGAACCATTTGATAGAGGCGGATTAAGATTAAGACGTATTAAGAGATATATTTACAAGGGTGGTGCCTGATTGGTTTGAGCTTGACTCCAAAGGTCAAAAGTACCAGGAGGTTCCAAGTTTAAATCCAAAGAGGAATAAAAATCCCCTTTGTGGCCACGGAGGTTCAAATGCGGTGACTCCAGCCTATGTGCAAAGTAGGTGGTCGTCCTGGAATTGATCGGCTCGCATAGCAAATTGGATATTCATATTAATAAATAAATAAAAACCATAAGATTTGAAATCCTAAAAAAGTCAAAATTAAAAAAGAAAATGTTGACTAAATAATGATGCATTAGTTGGGTGGAATCATGAATAACCACAATACATGACTTTAAATTTTGATCTCCCACTCAACCACTTTAGACTTTGTGTTTGATTCTACAAAAATAATTGTAAAAAATAACCACATTTATTTTTTATTACAATTTTCATTCAAATTCATATGTGATTATTATATAAAATCAATAATTTAGTTTTGTTCCTTGAGGTTTCTTTATTTTATTTTATTTAATAAATATTTAATTTGTCTTATTAACTATTAACGTTATTTTAACTGATATATTAAATATCGTATTTTTTTTATTAATCTAGATATTCAACCCGCTATGCGAGTCGACTAATCCCAGAGCGACCACCTGTTTTGCAGATAGCCTGGAGTCGCCGCATTTGAACATCCGTAGCCACAAACGGATTTTTATTTCTCTTTGGATTTGAACTTGGGACCTCCTGGTACTTTTGACCTTTGGAGCCATGCTCAAACCAATCAAACACCACCCTTGTGGTTCGTATTTTTTTTCAATAAAAGATATTATATATTACTATCTACAATGCTTGGATATTATAAGAATAAAATTATTTAACTGGTTTCTTTTTTGAAGTATATAATATTTATATACGGCAAACAGAACAAATAAACTCACACACCCTCATCACCTTTGGTGAGGTTTGAACTCTTGACCTCCTAGAAGGCCAATGACTCACATACCGCTAGACCAAAGGCCATTTGGTAATTATTTAACTGGTTGATATGACATAATATAGATTGGATGACTAGACACTTGATAGTAGTATACTAAGGTGCTATTTGACAATTGCTGAATAGTTTGGTGCAAAAT